AAAACTGATAAAAAATACAAAAGTTATTAACTTTTAAAATATATATACAATTCAATAGTTATAATAAGGAATGATATTAAAATGCAATTAATACATGTAACATAACCATAAATAATCAACATATTTATGGTAATCCGAACCTAGTTATTTTTGGTTTGGAATTAAATTAAAAATTTATCCAAGCCTAATAACGAAGCATGTAATTTTGTCACATAGGATTTCGAAGCACCAGAAGCAGCCACGTAGGCTCAGCGCGTTCTGAATTAATATATAGGGGGATATGGATGGGTTCACATGAGAATGATTCTCAATAAAAGAAATGAGAATAAATCCCAGCCATAGGATTAAATGATCCAACCATTCAAAAAAAGTCAAAATTATATCTTCATTAAGGGTATTGTGGTATTTTTTACTCCACATTAAAAAAAGTGGGTCCCATTTCAAATTAATACACATAACACATCAATATAAATCAACCTCCCATCCGACACCTACCCTACACATTCTCTCTCTCTCTCTCTCTCTCTCTCTCTCTCTCTCTCTCTCTCTCTCTCTCTCTCCCACAGACACACACACAACATCAATACGTGAGACACACACATACACACAGTTACATATATACACACACCTAGGCACCGCCAGCATCCTCGTCTCTCCGATCTCTCACCGGCGACCCACCCATCGCCGCCGCACAGCCACCATACATCGGCTTTCCTCCCACACACACACACACACACACAATTACATACACAAGCATACAGTCGACCGACATCATCATCTTCGACCTCCCACCGGCGAATCACCCATCGTCGCCGCACAACCACCATACACCGGCGTTTCTCCGACGCACAACCATACATAATCATTCACACCATACACACTCGCAGACAGAGAGAACCATCGTCTTGCACCAGCCCCGCCGATCGCCACCGTCCACCGCCCGTCGCAGACCTGCCGCAGCCCCATTTGCTTGCAACGCCTCCATCGGACGGGAAATGCTTCAGCCCGACGCCATCTTCGTCGTCCACTCCTCACATACTCGATCCGACAGTCCCGTCCTTCAACCTCTGCCGCCGACTCATCACCTCCGCCGCCGGAGCCTCGACCACCGCCGTCTTCGGCAGCTCGAACCACGCCCTCCCCGATGCGAGAGGTGGTGATACGAGGCTGTTTGAACCCCTGAAACTAGATTGTGTGTTTGGGCATCTTGGTTGAGAATTGGATTATTTCTAGGGACTTTTTTGCAATTCTAATAATTTTAATTATATTTCAATTTAATCGCTAGGTCAAGTTTGTAATTATTAAAAGTTAATACAAAATTGTTTTGTATTTATATTGCTATGAGTATATACTAATCAATAAATATAATATTATAAAATAATATAAAAATAATTCATAATAATAAATAATGTAAATAATAAAAATAATAAATATATTATATAATGAAAATAATAAATAAAAAGATATTTTATTTGTTTAACTTAATTCAATGTCTGATTATTCCTATTAAAATATTTTTTGAAAACACATAATTTATCTAGTAAGGTATAAATTTTTGCAATTTATACAGTAAATGTTGCACTTTATAAAACATCATACTGCACTCTATACCACAACACTTTGCACTGTATCAACACATTCCACAACTAATGTCAAAGTCCCCGCCAAAATGTTACGCTTTATAAATCTAAAAAATGTATCTACGTAATACTTCAATATCCATCACAACATCTGTACAAAAAAAAAAAAAGCACGAATGCTAACGTACTAAAATTACGGTAGTTCACGTTATACATCATCATGTTGCACTTTATAAAATAACATGTTGCACTTTATAAAACAACACGTTGCACTTTGCACTTTACAAAACAACACGTTGTACTTTGCATTTTATAAGCAACACGTTGCACTTTACAAAACAACGTGTTGCACTTTATAAAACAACACGTTGCACTTTACAGAGCAAAACGCTGCACTTTATCGCGATTATCAAATTGCACTCTATATGTCGAAACTAGCAGAAATCAATTTTTTTTTCAACCGCAAATAATATAAATTAATAAATAATTATTAATATTAAATATAATTTAAATGTAAAACACAAATTTTGAATATTTATAATAATTTGGTTAACCGAGTCGAATAAACCATTTATTTTCATTTTGATTTGTAACAACAATTCGTTTCGTTCAATATGCACATTACAGACCGTAACCGTGCATCATATTGTTGTCCAAAATGCACTTTAATACCTATTAAATTGCACGGTATAATTCGTTTATCATCTAACCTCTAATGCAATTTTTGGTCCGGTTCTTTATATCTCGGTCCGATTATTTTTTTTTTTACTTTTATAATTTCGATTGTTTCATTATGGTCGAAAATCAAATAATCGACCGACCCGTATACTAATTTTAATTATTGTTTTATATTTTTTACATGTATATTATTTGTTATGCAAATAATAATATAAAATATTAAATAAAAATATTAAAATACTAAATATTTTTTTTTTATAATACAAATACTAATTTATTTCTGATTTTAATATTTTAATATGCATATCATCACTTAATATTGTGCTTTTTTTTTATTATTATTGTGCAAACATTGTCAAGTATACACATGACATATGCAAATAAAATAACTTTTGATAATTGCAAATATGTACGAGGTTACCTTGAAAGAAAAAGAAAAAAAAAAATGTGATTTTAGATTAATGTCAACTGCGAAATATGATCGTGCTCAATTGAAAGTTAGAAGTTTTTAAGGTAAATTGCACCAAACCCCCTGTGTTTAACTAAATGTGCGCGTTTCTCCACTGTGTTTTAAAAACTGCACCAGACCCCCTTATGTTTAAGTAATTGTTGCACGGATCCCCCATTCCGTCCAAGTTAACCGCGCGTGTGTGACACCTTCTCTGGCTGCGAGATTTATTCAATTTCTTTATTTTCAGAATTACTTATTTACCATTATGCCCTCCTGAATTGTATTGCAAAAGCTAAAAATTTATAGTGCAAGAAGTGGGACTCGAACCCGAATTGCAGAGGGAGGGTGTGCGCCAACAAAGCCACTAGGCTACATGAATGTAATGTAAACTATTGAACAAATATATATTTATAATAATAACTTGAAATAAGTTAAATTAACATAAAAATAATGAAACAATTAAATTAAAATATAGTAAGATAAAATTTAATATAGTAGCATGAATTAAAATTAAATCATTATTAATTTTTAATTACTAAAATAATTTAATCAAATAAATTTTGAAATGAAAAATAATGATAATAAAATTAAAAAAAAATACAATAAAAATAAAAATGTTACAGATAATAATGTATAAAAATTGTAAAGTGAAATAATATAATAAATAAAATGAGGTATTATATTATAATAAATTAAAGTAAATAAAAATCTTAAATTAATATAATAAAATAAAAAAAAAAACATAATTTATCAAATACGTCTAATATGATTTACTCTTACATACAATATCAATGAGAACAATTGAAATAAATTATAATTTTTTAGTAAAATATTTTAGTTTCTAATAAATAATTTAATTTCTAATTTTATTAGTAGAATTTGTCTTAATTTTATTACATTATCTTAAGAAACAAAACAAACAAAGTTTGTTAACTAAGAAAATATATAATGAACAGTGCAATAAAATTATATAGAATAATATAAATTAAATAAATAATAAAATATAAAAATAATCTAAATATAAATACAATAAATATTTTTATTTTAACTTTAATTTTTAAATTTATTTATAATTTATTTTAATTATTGTTGTTTTTGTTTAATATAATAAGTTATTTTTTATTTTTGGTTCACTTAATTTTATATAATTTGGTTCAGTATATTTTAATTCATCATATCTTTATATTTTAATAATTTAATTTATTATTTACATTATCTTGTTAATTAAATTTCATTTATTCATGTGTAATGCCAATATATATTAACCTTTACTACATCTAACACTCAAGCTTGAGTGGTGCAATGGTTGCTTGCATTGTCTTGCTTGAACATGGTCTAAGGTTTGAACCCTCGAGACAGCGTTTTTTTTTTTAATTCAATTTCTCGCGATATATTCAATATATCGTGAGAAATTCAATTTATCGTAAATATATATATATATATATATATATTATTCGAAGGGTATAACGGAGTTTTTGTAAAAAAATTAACGTTGTTAACAAGCAGTTAAAAAAAGGGAACGTTTGCATTGGTTGCTTAAACATAAGGGGGTCTGGTGCAGTTTTTAAAACACAGTGAGGAAACGTGCATATTTCATTAAACGCAGGGGGGTTTGGTGCAATTTACCCGAAGTTTTTAATGTTTCCAAATTCAATGTGAGACTATTAAATTGCAATAATCAGATTTCAAGCTCCTTTAGTAACCCCTTTTATTAAATTTTGAAATAGACAAAGGGGGTGTCTATATGTACACCCCCTAAATTTCTAATTGTACA